AATGTAGAAGACTTTCTCTTTTTCTAATTAATAAATTTGAGGCAAGGCCTCGCTGGAACAAAAAAAAAAAAAAAAAATATACAGTATATAATATTGAATTATATATAAAATCAGCGATCGTATCTACATATAAAAGTTTTTAATTTAATAACTAAATCGCAAAAGCGTTACTAAGTAAAATTTGAGCTAAGAGCTAAATACACCTACTAAATAAATTTTAGACCTAAAGCACACAAATTGAAGGAAAGCTAGGCATTTAAATTATGAACGAATATTCAAAATTTAAATGTCCTTCTTTCCTTTAATTTGTGAGATTTAGGTCTAAAAATTTTTCAGTAGGTGTATTTAGTTCTTAGCTATAATTTTACTTAATAACGGTTTTGATGTTTTACTAATAAAAAAAGCAAAATCGTCCAAAAATCGGATGGCCGATTTGACAAATCAGACAGCTGATTTTCAGGCGACTTGAAGATCGGACGGCCGATTTTTGGTGATCATTCGACCAGTGTACACTCATCTTTAATTGCTCTCCCAAAAGGTAGTGACACATTAAATCACATCACTGGTTTGCCCTCAAGGGAACCAGGAACCACTGGTGACAACGAGTGCTATAACCTAACTCGATGTGATCAACTTTTGCCATCAGATCACATGATGACAGTGTTGAATTTCTTAGACTAAGTGGAAATAATATAATTATATTATTTCTACTCTATCAACTGAAGCAAAATCAAACTGTTGTGTGTTTTAGGACATAGCATGTTAAACTCTTTAAAAGAACCAATATAAGGAGCAAAGGAATTCCAAAGAGATTTCACCTTTAACAATGTCTTCTGTCAAGTAGAATTTCTTTTCACCAGATGATAATATACAAAATTCTTTTACTACTATCTTCTGAAAGTCGTACATGAGACTCCATACGTTTTTTGTATTTCATTTGATTATTTTATTTGGTGGGTTTTGAGGATAATAATCAGTCTTTTTATACCTTATAAGTTATTAAAAAAAATGATACCATGTTAAAAATTTACTTCAGATCAAAATGTATTGTTATTATAAAATTAACATTTTTGGCACTTGATAATTATCATTGGACAACGAAACAATAGTGACACGTGCATAATTGTGATTCCGCTCACTATTCTTTATTCCACTTTGTTAAGAAAAAGAATATTCTATCACCTTCAACAATTTACTTAAAACATATCTATAAATTAAATTCGCGAAAAGTTAATATGAGTACTAAAAAATTTGGAGGTAAGCCAAAACAAAAATCAGTTTAAAGTATTTATAGGTTTTACTCTAGTAAGTTATTTTAATGTTTACTTAAATCATTTAATAGAAAGTTCAAAAAGCGTGGCAGCTCGCACAACCAAAAAATCTGGTAAGAATTAATTTGAATTCAAAGAATATTCCGGTTATATTTTATTCATTATTATGTCCTTTCTAACAATAACAACAGACGATCCTTCTAAGTGGAAACCAGGGCAGACGATGCCGACGGCTGTCCCTTGGTTATTCTTGGATGAGTTAGGAGTCTGGGACAAATCAGATAAAGGAAATAAACCCAAGTCCCCTCAAACACCATCCCAAGCATCGGTTCAAAAACCAATCCCAAAGCTAACTTCAAATAGCAAGTTTACTGATACAACATCTAAGCCAACCCCAAAGTCAACCCTTAACGCAACACCCAAGTCAATGTCAATTGCAAAAGCAGTGCCCAAGACAACTCACAAGGCAGTGCCCAAGCAAGTTGTCAGTAATAAAAAAACTCCACCGCAAACCGTTACTGAATCAAGACCGACCACCAAAACCTCTAAAACCGGCTCTCAACCGATATACGAACAAACTATGCCCACGGCAGTTCCGTGGTTATTCCTTGACGAAATGGGAGTATGGGATGATAAAAATAAATCACACAATTCCAAATCAGCAAACGAAAATTCTACTTTCAGTGCCAAGCCCGCTAAAACAAATTCCAGCCACCAATCTGTTAATACAAATACAAGTTTTGGGACCAAATCCATTAATACAAATTTAAATACCAAATCTTTTAATACAAATTCTAGAACTAAGTCCATTAATTCAAATTCCAGCACTAAATCCGAGTCCAGCACCAAATCTTTTAATAATACAAATGCAACAAAAAACAACTCTACAATTGTTCACAAGAATTACTCAACTGTCTCAAAGAATTCCGTCAATGTTTCATCAAAAGCAGTCACTCTGAAGCCGAAAGCTGTACCCGTACCATCAGCGGCAATTTCAATGACAATTCCAATGCACTCAATACAATCAAAATCAGAATCCAAAGGGATCAATTCGAGATACGCTCAACCTAGATCATCACTCACTTCTAAAGTAGCATCAGTTCAGAAAACGGTAAATTCAATTAATAAAGGAGCACCTATCCCTAAAGCCGGAATCACAAAATCAAATATAACAAAAGTCGCAACATCTAATTATACATTAAATAAGGCGACATTACCAAAATCCAACCAAACTAAATCGGGTTCATTAAATTATAATAATAATGTATCAAGACCTTCAGAAAAAGTTGGTAAAAAACGAGAGGTTTCACCCGAACCTTTTCGCCCTGCCAAACGCAGGAATACGGATCGTAATAATTTGGAAGGATTAGATCAAAGGCAAATATCATCACTCATTCAATCAATATTTCCACGTAGAAATGCTCGACCATATTATGATGATGATGATGATGACTTGATGGAAGCCTCAGGATATGAGGTTATAAGAGAAGAAGCAGTCAGTAGTAAATTGGCTAAAAAAGAAGATGATGAACAAGAACGTCTTGATCAGCGAAGACGTCTTCTTAAAGCAAAAAAGAACAAAGTCGAGTATTAAAAATTTAAAAAATTTTTAATTTGAATATTAAAAAATATTAAAAGTAAAATCAACATTTTTTTTTTTTAAAAAAAAATAATGTTTTAATGTTCAGGGCAGGAGTATTAGTTCTAACGGGTATGTATATATATCATGTATTAAAGTTTTAAAGTTGTGAATTTCTCTGATCAAAATTTATTAAAATTTATTAAAATTTTAATTCTTAGATATTCGCGTTTATATTGTTATATTAGTTTTAAACTGTTTTGTTAGCAATAGTATTAATTTTGTGGTATTATTATTATTATTAGTTTTTTTTTTTTTTTTAAAAAAAAAATTTATTTTATTTTTGCAGCCATTTGAAAATTGTTGAAAATTATTGACAATTGTTGAAAATTATTGAAAATTATTGATAATTATTGACAATTATTAATAATTATTGAAAATTATCGAATAGTAAATAAAATTATGCTTAATTCTTTGCAATAATTGTTATTTAATATATTTTTACATTTTTTATAATTTGATCATTTAAACTTTTTAGAATAGAAATTAGCATGTATATAAAAAATATTTAATTTAATTCAAATATGTTATGTAAATAATATAATAAGTAATTTTTACAATAAAAAGTCGTGTAACCATAATTTAAATAAATAAATAAATATATAAATATAATTTTTTTTTTTTTGATTTTGTATAATTACAAATAATATAATAATATTGAATATAATGAATATAATGAATAGAAAATCAATTCTTTCAATTTATCGACAATTATTAAGAGAAGTTCATAAACAAGTAAATATATTTCCTTTTTTACATCCGATTAAAACTATTTACTATATTAAATTACATTTATTTTATATATTCTAGTATACATTACAAAACAATAATTCATATTGGAAATTAGAATTGATTAAAATATTTCGACAAAATCAAAATGTAAATGATAAAGAATTATTAGTAAAATCCAATCAAGATGCGTTTGATTTATTAAGTTTTTTAAAAAGCAATCGAAGATATAATGTATGTAATGTATTTATTATTAAAAAATCGATTATTTAAAATACATAAATTATTTTACAAAATTATTAATAAATTAAATTGTTCATGTGAACAAATAGGAATTGATGGCACAAAGCAACAAACTTTATGGTCTTACTGAAAAACAGCGAATCGATAAAGCTGCAAATCGGGTAGGATTAAAAACTCCTTCCGATCAAGATATTTTATTACCTTTTGAATCAATTCCCTCATAGATTATTTTCTCTCCCCGAGGAAATAGGTAAATAAAATTTCAATTTGAAATTTAACTTTATTATAGTTTATTTATACATTAATTAAATTAAGTATATACATTAGCATAAATAGTAATTTTATTATGTACAAGATATATAAGATATGTAAATAATAAAATTAATAATTCAGTTGATCTAATTTTTTTATTATTTCATATTTTATTATTGATTTGAATATTTATTAAATTGTTGATGAAGTTGATGATAAAATTGGTGGTTGGTATCTAGAAAATGGAAAGAACGCGTTAAAAAAGTTTATCAATTCCAAAGAAAAAGAAAAAAAAAACAAATAAAAAACAAAAAAAACTTGATAAAATTAGATAAAAACCAAATAAACCAAAATAAGCTCAATGAGACTCAATAAACTCGATGAAATTCAATAAAATTAACCAAATGAACTTTCTAAATGAGGTATGGAATTTGTGGAAAGGTATATTGTAATTGTAGGTTGTGGGTTCTTTTTATCTGTTGTTTTTCTTTTTTTTTTTTCCATTTTTATAATTTATTTTTTTTAATTAATATTTATTTTAATACTATTTTTAATTAATTAATTTAATATATGAATAAAAAGAATTTACTTAATTTCATCATCATTTTCATTTTCAATTTTTTTCTCTTCTTCCTCTTCCTCCTCCTCATCATCTTTCATTTTACATTGTTCATCATCACCATTCGTAATCGCTTCATTACTTTCACTTCTCTCACTTATGATATTTTTGATATTTAAAAAATTTCTTCCAATTTGATTATATTGATGTAAATTACCATTCATTTTTCGTTTTATTATTTCCGCTATTGAAATTGTTTTTGTAATAGTTGTACCTTTACCCGAAAGAATTATAATGTTTGAAGATTTTTCCTAATTTTTATTTGATTTGATTTCATTTCATTTCATATAATTAAATTAATTAATTAATTAATTAATTAATTGTAATTTGAGATCAATTAGACAAATTAATATCTTTTCAAATAATAATTCGATCAATCTTAGTAACTTAATAAATAAATAAAATAAATAAATAAATAATATTTACTTGAAATTGATTGAGACATTTTTCTACATAATTTCTAATTTTACCGGATTGTGTAATTTTAAGTAAATATTCTTGATTCTTTCCTTTTGTCACCGATATAATATTTGATATATTTGGTGGTGAATCGGTGTGAGTAATAATGGATTCTGGTGGTATTATTATTTTCGGAGTTTTGTTCAATATATTATTATTATTATTATTATTATTATTATATGTATTATTATTATTATATGTATTATATAGATTATATGGACTCTCTTTTCTCTTTTTTTGTGAAAAATGTTTAGAATTCCGTTGTTTTTTAGGTGACATTATAATAATAATAATAATAATAATAATAATAATAATAATAAAATGATATCAATAATGTCGTTATTATTATTGAATGAAATGAATTAAAAATTATCATCGCGTGACTATCAAAAATTTCCCATAATTATGAATTAAAATATATTTCTAATAGTTTGATTAAAATATATTAAATCTCCTTGTACTCATGGGAACTGATTTATTGTAAGTGAACATGACGAATAAAAAATAATAAATTTTGTAAGCATTTGTTTACTTCTACACAGTTCACCTTGATTAAAACTTTGTCTCATTTAGCTGGAGTTTAGAGAATTATTATTTTTTTGTTTACTTGATCTAAAAATTCCTTACCAATGAGTCAACATACATTTCTTTCTTCTTTAAAAATTAAATTAAAAAAAAAAATTTAAATTATTAAAATAATCCAATAATGATAAATTAATTAAATTAAAAATAATAAATTAAGTAATAATATGTCATAAATTATATAGTTATAAACAATTCATTATTTATTTCCCCTTTATCTTTTATCTTTCATAATGATCTTTGTTTCATTTCAAATCTATAAAAGAATATAAAGAAAAAAATCTTTATAAATATGAATTTTGAGAAGTATTGTATTAAACATTGATTAATTAACTTATTAAAATGTCATATTACGTATTGTATTATCTATTATGTATATTATACTATGTTCTTACATTTTCTTACATTTTTTTTTACATTTTTGCATTTTTCGGGGACCCGGAACTTATTACTTATTAAGGAAACACTTCTTTATTTTGACAAAAGGTAAATGTTTACATGAAAATGATCTAATTTGAACACATTTGGATTACACATTATACAAATTTATGCACGAATTTGAAGCTGGCGAAAAGTGATAATCATAAATCAAGATATCTACGTCAATCCCTTCATTTTACTACTCTTTCTTCTTCTTTTAATATATTATTATTGTATTATCATTTTTTTTTTTTGAATTTAGTATTATGCCTGTAAGTAAAATTCTGAATTTTTATTTTATTATTACAAATTCGATGACTATATTATTAATATTTTTTTTTAATATATTTAATATATTTAATATATTTATTATTTAATTTTTAATTTTATTACCTTTTTTTTTTTTAGCATTCTGACGAAGAATATAGTCTTCACGCCAATCCTTTAATCAACGATATAGAGTAAGTTTTCGTTAAATAAATATATATATATTTGAAAATTATTATTTGATATATATATATATCTATCTATATCAGATACATTTTTATTACTTTTTACTTATTTTTATTTAATATTTATTTAATATTTATTTATATTAGAAACGGAGACGAAATGCTCGATGATCCTGTTCAAGATAATCGTCCACGTTTATTGATAATGGGTCTGAGGAGGTGGGTAAGAAAGACTTCAAAAATATAAATTATTATTATTTAAAATATAAAATAAAATATACAGTATATATCTATTTTAAATAAATAAATAAATAAATAAATAAATAAATAAATATATGTATGTAAAAATAAATATAATTTTAAGAATAACTAATACATTTAATATATGATTATAATAGAAGTGGCAAATCTAGTATCCAAAAAGTGGTCTTTCATAAGATGCCAGCAAATGAAACACTCTTTCTTGAGAGTACTAATAAAGTCGTTAAAGAAAACATAACGTAACGTAATCCAATTTCCGTAGATCATTAACCATATAAGGTTTATATTGATGATTTGATAAATTTTAATTTTCATTTAATAAATAATTTTTATAGTTCATTCATTGATTTTCAAGTTTGGGATTTTCCGGGACAAATTGATTATTTCGATCCATCATATGATTCAAATGTAATTTTTGGAGAATATGGAGCATTGATTTTTGTGATTGATGCCCAAGTAAGTTATTTTATTTAATTAAATAATTATTAAAATATAATCAGTAATAATAATAATAATAATAATAATAATAAAGAATTTTTTTTTTTAATAATAATAATAACAACAACAACAACAATAACAATAACAACAACAATAACAACAACAATAACAACAACAACAACAACAATAATAATCAATAATAATAATAATAATAATAATAATAATAATAATAATATAATAATAATAATAATGATAATAATTAATAATAATAATGATAATAATGATAATAATGAAATAATTAGGATGATTATAGTGAAGCATTAATACGACTTCATCAAACAGTGACGAGAGCTTTTGATGTCAATAATAATTTGATATTTGAAGTATTTATACATAAAGTAGATGCTTTATCAGATGAATATAAGATTGATACTCAACGTGAAATTCAACAAAGGACTACGGATGAATTAGGAGATTTGGGATTGGAAAATGTTCCAATAAGTTTTTATTTGACTAGCATTTATGATCATTCAATTTTTGAAGCATTTAGTAAAGTGATTCAAAAACTTATACCACAATTACCAACTTTAGAGAATTTATTAAATATATTATGTGCTGTAAGTAATAAAATAATTTATTTTTATATATTTTTATATCTTTTATATTTATTATAATTTTTTTTATTAATAATAATAATTTTTAAATTAATAATATTAATGATTTTTTTTTATAATTTATAATAATTTTTTTAAATTAAATTAAATTAATTGATAATTGATTAATCTCTCTCGTCTCAGAATTCAGGAATAGAGAAAGCATTCTTATTTGATGTCAATTCCAAGATTTATATTGCCACGGATAGTTCACCTGTAGACATGCAATCTTATGAAATTTGTAGTGATATGATTGATGTCATTATTGATATTTCAGAGATTTATGGGTAAATTTTATTGTCTTTCTCTTTTTTTCTTCTCTTTTTTCTTCTCTTCACTTACTTAATAATAAATAAAAGTCACTTTTAAAATATATCTAAAATAATAATTTTTAATAGAAGAACAAATAATTCTTATCGTGGAGAAGTATACAATGAAGATCATTCACAGGTGAATACAAATGGAACTACAAATAATTCAAATGGAAATTATGGTGCAATAACCGAAACCGCAAATGATGTTGAATCATTAATTAAGTTGAGCAATGAAATGATATTATGTCTCAGAGGTGTTAATCGGTAAATTTTATTTTTATTTTTATTTTATTTCATTTCTTCTCATTTTTATTTCTTTTTTCAATTTATTTATTTCTCTAATATTATAAATTATTATAAATATTATATATATATATATATAATATATCAATTTTAATTTGTTTCAGATTTCTTGCATTAGTTTGTCTTTTACGATCTGATAATTTTGAAATGCATGGATTAATAGATTATAATTTTCAATGCTTTAAACAAGCTATATCCGATGTTTTTGAATTAAAACGTCGTGGTACCGAAAGACTTCGACACGAGAGAATGAGATTGATGAATGATGAAAATGTTGGTGGATAATGAAAATAGCTTTTTTTTTTTTTTATTTGTTACCTTGGATGTTCTTTTAGTATTATTTATTTATTTCATAAGACATTATTATTATTGTTGTTGTTGTTGTTATTTTATTTTATTTTATTTTTTTTATTATTATTTTTGTATATTATTTGTATTTTCTGTATTTTCTCTTTCCAAATTTAATAAATTTAATAAATTTAATAAATTTAATAATTTTTAATAATTTTACATAAATTAATATTATTTCAAAATATTATTATTATCATCAAATTATCATCAAATTATTAAATATTTTTATCAATAATCCATTTATTAGCTTCGTGAATAGAAAATCTTCGACATCCTAAATATACAAGTCCTTGAAGTAAACAATCCGCAAGATCATCCTTTTTTTTAGAATTATTAAAATAATTTGTTAATTCCTTTGAACAAAGATTGGCATGATCCTTTACCCAGTATTGAGCTAATAATTTCGAAAAATTCTTCTTCTTTCGATTACTTTTATTTCCATCTTGTCCAAGGAGATATTCTTTAATTTCTGATTTCTTTCCTAAATCACATAACCAATTGGCAATTTCGTCACCTGAATATTCGGAATTGATTTCTTTCTTAATCATTCGATTTAAATATTGATAGATTGCTGTAGGAAAACTACTCTTTACTTCAAATTGTTGATCTTTACCACTTAAAATTGTTAAAATTGTAAATAATGTTGATTCTATTGTCATCACATTTGTTATGAGGGCTGAAGAAAATGTTCGAAAACTTTGACGTTCTATAATAAATAAATCTACTATTTCTCGTTCATCACCACTTTCATTCTCATCATCATTATTCTTATCACCGTTATCATAATTAATATTTGATTTGGATAAAAATGTTTGATTAACCAAAGGAATTAATTGATTAATAATATCTTTGGGTTCAAAAGATTTAAGTTCCAAAGTTATTTTTTTCCAATCTAAAATTTTGTAATCTGATGTTATATGAATATACGCCAAATTCTTTATTCCAATATCAATCGATATAATGGATCTAGGCAAAGAAGAACCCACGACTTTTAAATTTTCATTATTATTATTATTATTATTATTATTATTATACTTTGATACTGCTGCCGTTTTTGTTGTTTGTTTCAATTTAACCAATTTCACTGTATGTTCAAGTTGTTCCTGAAGATAAGTTACTATCAAGTGTCGAGAAAGGTGATGTGACATACATAATTTGTTGTGTTGAGCTCCTGTTAAACCACATCTATAAACTAAGTTTTGTAATTCAACTCTTGAAAGTTTTTTAAGACTAAAATAAAATATTTCGGATTAATTATCGGAAATTTAATAAATAATAAGAATATGTATACATATTACAAATACCGTTCAGCAAGTTTTGTTATATTCATCTTCTATTTATTTTATTTCTAATCTAGTTATGATAATCATCAAAACAAGCTTTAATTTTTCCGTCACAAAACCTAATATCACATGTTATAACCAAATTCCCATGTGAGAATTTTCCGATCACTTGCCAAATAATGGACCAATCAAAATTTATAGGGCACAGGATAAAAGCTTATACAGGTGACAGGATAAGGGTCGATTCTTTTGTAAAAAAATTTTTTTTTTTACTCATGAAAAAAAATACGGTATTTAAAGATTCCGAAAATTTTCAACCTTGGACAGAAAAATAGTAAGACGCGTAAATTTGAATTAAATCAAGTTTCACGAATTTCTGGTTAATATATTATTTTAAAAAAAAAGTCGACCTAAATCCTTAGAGGATGTAAGTGCCCAAGAAGAAACTGTAGCTGTATTAAGAAAAACGGTTTTATCTCAAAATGTACGTATGCTATTAAGTATGTCACGTGAAATTTTGATAAAAATGTTAATAAAAAAAGTATTACTTAACAAAATAAAATAAAAAAAAAAGTATTACTTAACAAAATAAAATAAATAAAAAAATCTGAAATTATAACAGTTACCACATATGTTATTTTATGGTCCCCCGGGAACTGGTAAAACATCAACTATCCTGGCAATTGCTCGAGAACTTTATGGGTGAATTTTTTAGATTTTTACTTAATTTTATTATATCAATCAATTATTTTTTATCAATTAATCAAAATTATTTTATATATTTTATGTATATATGTATGTATGTATGTAGAGTGGAAAATATGAGACTTCGAGTGAAAGAGTTGAATGCATCAGATGATCGAGGAATTGATGTTATCAGAATAAAAGTAAAGAAATTTGCGCGTACGATAATCAGTAAAAACACACGGTAAACGCGTTTTCAAATTATATTCTATTATATTCGTGATATTTTTGTTTTGTAATAATTTAATTATGATATTTTTTTTGTTGTTTTGTGATAATATTATCTAATAGTGGACCACCATATAAAATCATAATATTAGATGAAGCGGATTCAATGACTTATGATGCTCAAGCAGCTTTAAGACGTTTAATGGAAGATTCATCAAATACTACGCGTTTTTGTTTAATTTGTAATTATGTCACTCGGTATAATATCAATTTATTTATTTATTTTATTTTATTTTAAAAATTACATGACAAATTAATAATAATAATAATAATAATGATGATGATGATGATGATGATGATGATAACATTAAAGAATTATAGAACCGATAGTCTCTCGTTGCGCACAATTTAGATTCAAACCATTGGATGCATCAAGTTCGAAATCTCGACTTGAAATGATTTGTACAAAAGAAGGAATGAATTGTGATTCTCAGGTAATTTAATCTATATTTGATATATATTTGATATATATATATATATATATATATTTGATATATTATTCAATATTAAATTATTTTAATTATTATTATTGAATTATTAAATTATTATTTATTATAGACATTAGATGAATTAGTAAGAATATCTAATGGTGATTTAAGAACAGCAATAACTTATCTCCAAACTGCTAATACATTATTCAAGAATGAAATGGTTACTTTAAAATTTGTGAGAGAATTAGCAGGAGTAATTATTATTATTATTATTATTATTATTATTATTATATATATTATTATTATTATTATATTATTATTATTAATTCGAGAATCTTTAATATTTTTATTTTATTATTAGTTTATACAGCCTAATGCCATTGAACAACTTGTTCAAAGTGCAGAAAGTCATTCATTTAATAAAATTGAAAATACTGTTTCTCAGTTCTTTTTATCTGGATATTCTGCTGTTCAATTATTATCTCAAGTATGTATTCCATCTTTATTTATTATTTTTTTTTCTTTTATTTCTCAATTCTCTATTACAAAAGAATTTAATTAATTAACAATCAACCTAATAAATTTAATGTCAATTAATAATAGATTCAAGATCAAATTATATATGATAATACTGATAGATTTACAGAAATTCAAAAAGCAAAAATAGCAATGTATATTGGTGAAATGGATAAATGTTTATCTGAAGGATGTGATGAACATTTACAAGTTTTAAATTTAATTGTAACTATTTCTAAAAATATATCAAATTATGAAACAATGGATTTTGATTAACAAAGTAATGAGAAGAGTTTGAAGTAGAAAGTTTGATGTAGAGAGTGTTGATGTAAAGATATAAAGAATCACGTAAAAAAGTAATATTAGTAAATAAATAAAATAATATAATACAAAATAAATAATTACATTTTATTACATTTGAAATTTTATTATAATTATAATTTTATGATCTTGTTATCAAGTCAGATTTATTTATTTGTAAAATATTGTAATTAACTATAATTAATTCAGATCAACTATAATTAACTAGTTACGGATTGTTTAAAAGGACAATAAAATAAAATAAAATAAAAAAAAATATAATAATAATCTACAAGATCAAACAATTAGGATAAATAAAATATATTATAAAATAAAATTCTGAAGGAAAATAAAATTCAGAAGAAAAAAAAAAAAGAAAAACAAAAAACCGATTTATAATAATAATTTATTTAATAAAATTATTATTTTTTTTCTTTTATATTAATTTAATGTTTGGAATCACTGGGAATATGAGATTTTTTGAAATCATCTTGAGGTACACTTTCATAACTGGGAGGTAACGAAACTGTATAAGCAGGAATTGGAGTATAATAAACAATATAACCATTTTCTGGAATATTGTCATATTGTTTTTCAACTTTAAGTTTTTGATAATAAGCCCATACTGCCATACAGAAGTGAAGCTAAAAATAATATATAAAATAGAGAAAATAAAATAAATATATAATAAATGTACAAATATATATACAAATATATATATATATATAAGAATTAAATAATGGCATAATTTTACGCAATATTATGAAATATTTTTATACATACATCAATGAGGCATGTTATTCCAAGGAACACAACCATTGCAGCTGCGGTCTTTTTATACCAATCCAAACATTGATCCAAATCTAATTCCATATCTGGTGGTTTGTTTTCAATTAATCCTTTACAAACATCTTTGTCAATATAGAAAGCCAAAATGGAAAAGGCAATTGATACGGAAAATCCCAATACAAGTTGCCACCAATAAAAGATTGAATAGAGCCTCACGTAATTGACCTTGTTCTAAAAAATAAAATTGAATATATATCATATTATTATTATTATTATCATTATTATCATTATTATTATTATTATCATCATCATCATCATCATCATCATTATTATTATTATTGTTATTGTTATTATTATTATTATTATTAAATCTTATTAAATCTTTGATCAAATCAAATCAAATTTAAATAAAAAATCAATAAAATAAAATAAATAATAAAATAATAAATATAAAATAAATACCTTTATCACACCATAAAGACCCGCGATGCAAGCAATTGTTGCCCCAATGTAATATGTAGATAAAACACTATAAATCATTCCGAATTTTTCGCCCATTTTTGAAAATCGATAAGCGTTGGTCATATACGATAACTATGTGTTGTGTGTGTAAATTAAAAAGTCATTATTAATCAAAATTAAAAAGTCATTATTAATCAAAATTAAAAATATGGCATCTTTTTTTTTTTCACAAATAATACTTACAACTCCAAAAGTGGCCAATATTAAAGTGGCCGTTCTATAAAAAACGTAGAAATATAAAAAATCATAACAAAATTATTATTAGTTTAAAAATAAAAAAAAAATAAATAATATATATGTGTCAAATTCATAAATCGTTTAAATCTTTTCGTAAAGGTAAAAACCTTACCTCAGACCAATGCAAAAACAACATTTATTTAACATGTTTACAAAATTTCAAAATGAAAAAAAATATATTTAATAATTTATAACTAATATAAAAATACTGTAGAAATGAAGGTAAGTTTTTTTTAGGGATTTTATCTCAATATCTCAATGATGTAAATAATTTAGAAATAATTTATATAAATTTTATGCATTGTGCAACATTGCTTGCAAAATACGGAGTTTATATGAATAGAATACAAGAAATCATGATAATTTAAAAAATACAAAAACGAATTCTATTTTTATTTTCTCTATTTATTCATTCTTTGTGTACTCCATTTTTGTTGTTATTGTTGTTTAATTTAGTAATTTTGGTTTATACGGATATTTGATTTAAGATATTTTTTAACTTTATAATTTCTTTATTTTGAGAATTAAGAATTAAGTATTGAACAGTGTAATGTTTACAAATTACAAGGGTATTATTCCCTTGTCTTGTTGATCAAATGTTGTTTAAAAACGAAGTATTGCTCTTATTCGTTTATTGTTTCATTTTGCCATTGTCTCTCGAATCCAGGAGTAACACAGTGTGGTATTATTCAACAATCCACTTTAGTGAATTTCTACTTCAACCAAGATTTCAAAAATTTTTGTTGCTTTTTTTTTATCTTGTATCATTTCATTCTTCTTTTCAATTTTGGTAGGAAACAATATGAAACAATATAATTATGTTACATCATACTTACGTTATATTGCTTGGGCCTGTATTCACTATCGTATCGTGTTTTAAGGTCGTGTTGTTTCCACATTTGAGGGTGGCCGATATATATAAATTTGACAAGTTGTTTAACCGCATAATGCATAACCTCAGTATTTTTTGCTGCATAATCTGCAATTTTGCCGATACCCTGATAGGAATAACAGAGGAATTTCTTACGCCTGAACTTTTTTCACAAATATTTTTCGCACTCTTGTTCTCACATACAGCAGTTATATTTCACAAAAAAAAAAAAATAATAATAAATATTTTTACCTCTTTACTCTTTGGAAATCTTTTGAGAAGCGGAAAATGGACCCGAGTGAATTTCAATGTGTTATATGTAAAGAGTTAAAGCCTAATCCTCAAACATCGCAATGCTGTTTCAAATTTTGTCCGGATTGTATCCAAAAGGATGGAAAACATTTGTCCAATTCGTAATCAAGCAACATGCTTCACTGAAATCCCTGCAGTATAAATAGGAAGCTTGGCGATGATTCCACTTATTTTGCCCGTTTCTACGATAATGGTTTATCACGATCCCAATCCCAATATAATTTATTACTTAATGATCCCATTATAGATACTTTTAAAATTACAGTAATAACTATTGATAATATAAAAATCGATATCTATGTTAAAGAAAGTGATACAATTGAGATCCAATGAAGATGGTACACTATTTTATTTTTTTTAACGAGAAAAAGAGATCATGCATTTTAATAATAATTTTTTCTTTAGGTATTGCTCCTAAGTAATTTTCGGAGGAAAACAACTAGAAGATCAAAATACCATTTCATATTACAATATCAAAGATGGATTACGTTTGAAAATATTTATAATGAAGTCACGTGTCTAGTAACTGCAGAAGAAATTGATACATATATAAGAGAATATGTAAACAAGAAATCCCTGGGCCTGTCCCAAATCCCATATGAACTACTCAAACATTTAGGAGATAAGGCAATCAATAAAATAAAAAGTTTATTTGACACAATTCTAAAAATGGGTCATACACTGGAAGAATGGAATAAAGACATTATAGTACTAATCCCAAAACCAAAAGAGTGGGAGGGTCAACTAGAAATAACAAGACCGATCACATTATTGAAAACAATAGAAAATTATTTATAAAAATTCAAAACAACAAACTAATGAAAATATTATTTGAACTATACATGTTTTCAAAATTGATTTCTGATTTTTTGAATATTTCATCTTTTTGAAATTTACTCTGAATTTATTCTATATATGGAAATAAAAAAAATCTAGTTAAGTGTATCTTTAATCAAGGAATTTATCTGGGTAGTTAAAAAATTTTGAGTTTTAAGTAAAATAATTTTGTCTTCTATGAAAAACTATTTTGACTTTTTTTCCAAAATTGCAACTTCAGGACTTTAAAATAATTTTGTATGCAAGTGTAATTTGAACACAAAATATTAAATCAAAATAATTATGCTAGTTTACCAGGTAACAGAACTACTTACCCAATCCATACCTTAAACAACATCATGAAAGATGCCAGAAAAAAAAAATAGAGAATTATGAATACTTTTTCAAGATATAAAGAAAGTATTTAACTTAGTAGATCTTGATATACTAACAATGTTCTTCAGAAAATTAAATTCTCTTTTACAATTAAATAGATTATACTAAGAACCAATGTAACTGAGACTTTATAGAATATGAAAAAACAGAAGAATATATAGTCAAATGTGAACTAGATCAAGGGGATAGTATTTCATTATTATTATAGTGTATCTTCTACAACCTGTTATTGACTGCAATAAATTCATTAAAACAGAACTTTGATATGAAGAAAACTTACTTAATCAATATAGCTACAAGACATTCAGGTCAAAATTTTAGCACTAGTATATATGGATAATACAACATGAATTATTATACACTAGTCAAATACAAAAGAATTGCTGTATCAAATAATAATTCCTATACTTATAAATCAGCTAAAAATCAGTAACAATTGATTATTCTATTATATCTTATATTATAAATCAACAAAAATCAGAATTTCTTTTTGATATGAAATATCTTTTATATTTGACCTGTAACAAATAAAACTGTCATGAAACAAATCATAAAGCTATCTGAAGAATGCTTCCAAATAACAGAAATACAAATAAATACTAGTAAATCAGAACTAATTATTATTTGAAATCACAAAGATCAAAAGGAAAAATCTGTCAAGAAAAGAATAAAGTTTGTGGGAGCAAGAATTAAGTCAAAAAAAAAATAAGGTGAAGTGGTTTGTTATTTGGATATTTGGATATTAGAGAAAGGCTCAAAATCACATCAATTAAATCTGATAAAAGAAAAAGTTAAAAACTTAACAAAAATAATGGAATTTAAAAATTTTAACAGATAAACAAGCTCAGTACTAATGATACCTGATGGAATTAATAAATTGTAACAAGAGTTACAACTATGGAGTTGCAACTCATAGTTACAACATTGCACCAATTCGCAATATCACAATTATGCTACCACAATGTTACAATTATGGTACAATTATATTATTAATGTAATTATATATAAGATTGGAAATAATCATCAATAGTTATTATATATAAACTTTTTAGTTTATAAGTAAATATTAAAATTCTATTAAGTAATCTTAAAGACAAGAATGAATTACATATTATATAAAAAGAAGAGACATATAAATAATTTTAAAATAATAATAATTCGCTCAATTATAATTATATAGATCTATCCTTTTAATATAATATGCAATTAAAGTTTTTCTTTGAAATTACTTAGTACCATTTTTAATATTCACTTATAATATAAAAAGTTTTATATGTAATAACATTGACGATTTTATATATAATTACTGTATGTTATGATTATAATTTCCGTAATTTTGGTAATTCTGGCCGGAATTACGGAAAATTTATGGCAGAGAATTTTCACGGATGTTCGTGAATATCTTCGCGAATATCGATGTTACAGGAATGAAACACATATCATCTTGTAGCTAAGAACAAGGACTTTCTATCTGTCATAAAAATATCTTAATATAAAATTGCACCCGAATTAAAAAAAAATAAAAATTTTGTGTGTAATCTTCCGTTTATCACGTGATTTTTCGTGATATTATTAATTTTTGTACAATTAGCAAAGTAACGGACGGATATACAAAATCGTTGAAGTTATTACATATAAAACTTTCTATATTATAAGTAAATATTAAAAATGATACTAAGTAACCTCAAAGATAAAAATTAGTTACATGATATATTAAAAATATAGATCTATATAATTAAAATTGAGCGAAATATTATTATTTTAAAAGTTTTCATCTGTTCAAGGTTTAACTGCTAATCTTTCTCTCAATTTAGATAGTATATGTCTCTTCTTTTATATAATACGTAATTAATTACTATCTTTAAGATTACTTAATATTTTTTTTTGATATTTACTTAAAAACTAAAAAGTTTTATATGTAACAACTATTGATGATATTCCGATCTCATATATAATTACATTAATGATATAATTATGCCATAATTGTGACATTGCGACAAATAGTTGCAACTAGGTATAGAGTTGCAACTAATTGCAACTCATGAAAATAATTGTAGCAGGTATCTTTACTCAGAATACTTATTAACAGATATGATCATCCTACATACATCCTGTGATACAATTAATACAATAATAGGAAAGTGTTTTAAATATAAATTAGACTTAATTAGAACATTTCCAAATTATACCCTTTACTCTAAAATTGGATATAAATTATTTAATATATATAGTAGGCAACTACAAATGCATATGTCAGAATTTCTATAAAGAATAAATAACAGTAATTTAAGTAGTATTACAACATATATGAACTGATTTGACTTCACTAATTTTATCATATTACATAAGTGATATCTGAGAAAAGATATTGTTTCACATAATATTATATGATAAAAAAAATAAA